AACTTTTAAACNTGTAAGTGATATCTATATCACTACTGCCAAGAAGAAAAACTCACCACCTCAAGGATATAATCTGCCTTATAATGCTAGGAATGAACAAGATCTAACCACGAACGTAAGAGTGTCGCCTTACATCGGAGATGAACACTGAAATAGAAATTAAATTCGAAGTAAGTGCTCAAATGACAGAGTCTCGTGCTGATAACGTGTTATAAAATAAAGACTGTAAAGTAAAGACAAGTATAGAGAGAAACTGATATATTATTCAACTTTTAAACTTATGTTCATAATGAACTGAAAACTCCTCTATTTATAGAAGAAAGGAAGCAGTTGCGAGGCTTTTCAGGAAGCAGCTGCAAGGCTTTTTTTTAGCTGCTTGTAAGCTGTCTGCATGAGCTGCTTGCAACCTGCCTGTTTAATAAGAAGCTGCTGCAAATCATTTCACTGAGTTGCTTGCAACCTGCCTGCATCAGCTGCTTGTAAGTTGTCTGCATGAGCTGCTTGCAACCTGCCTGTTTAATAAGAAGCTGCTTCAAATCATTTCATTGAGTTGCTTGCAACCTGCCTGCATCAACTGCTTGTAGATAAACTTTAACAGAGTACTAAATGGATTATCTTCTTCAGAAAAATTATCTATAGCAGAGTGATGAATGGATATCCACCATATAATATTTTCATAACAAAACCAATAAATAAATAAATAATGATATTAGGAAAAGGTGAAAAAGCGGAGCGGTTTGATGTCTCAAAGCTCCATAGTTACAGGAATAAACTGGGTAAATTTTATAAAAGATCATATAACTATGATTTTTTTTCGATCAAAGTTATATAATTATATTTTCTCACACAAAAATCATAAAACTTTTACTAACTCACACAAAAATCATAGTGACCGCAAAATATAACTTTTCAATAGTATTTTCTTTTCCCACTATTTTTTATTTTTTATTTTTTATTTTCAGTCTAATAAGTAATAATCCAATTAAAATATAAATGACCCAACTCGGACCGACCCACTCGACCCAAAATCCTTATATATAATTAAAATAATAGTAAAAGTGAATCCTTCAAAACATGATACTTCTATTTTTTATTTTATTTTCAAGATTTTCATTCAAATTGATAGTATTTTATTTCAAATGCTCTCTAATTATAAATTCTATTTCTTTTTTATGGGTTAGAATCTCATGCATTCAGAACTAAATTTTTTGTGGGGGAATGATTCACTTTTAGTATTATTTTAATTTATTTATATAGGTATTGAGTAGGTTTGGTTGGGTCATTCCTTTACAAAATTAATCGGTAATATAACTAATTGCATTCGCTAGCCAAAAAAAGAATATATGTATGTATGTATGTATGTATGTATGTATGTATGTATGTATATGTATGTATATCTCTCTCTCTCTCTCTCTCTCTCTCTATATATATATATATATATATATATATATATATATGGCAGTGGTTAAAAATATGTGTTTCTCCTATTTTAATTGGATTATTATTTATTAGACTAAAAATAAAAAATAAAAAACTTGGAATAAGAAAATACTACCTGAAAATTATGTTTTTGGTCACTATGATTTTTGTATGAGTTAATGAGAGTTTTATGATTTTTGTGTGAGAAAACAAAGTTATATGATTTTAGTGAAAAAAATTTATAATTGTATGACCATTTGTGAAATTTATCCGGAATAAACTATATTACCCTTGGAAAGAAAGGCTTGCAACCAATTCAATTTAGCTATGTTAAAAATAATAATGCCAGTATTTGTGGGTGTAAGAACGATCATCTGTTTATTAGCATGATATAAATTTCAGAAGTAGATTGGTCCCACAAGAACTTAGAGACTAAATTCATATAGTACAAGAAAGATGGATGTTTGTTGTTGAGATATTAATATACTGATCTTGAAACTTGCAGGATTCACTATGCTACTTGAATATTAAAGATGGAATAAATTTTCATGAAAATATGATACATTAGTTTCGTCAGAAAATTGAACTGCATAATATGAGGGCAGCCTCACTCTTAAACTAAATGGGGCTAATGAGAATTTCAACAAGTTATATGTCGCGACCCAATTTCACCTATAGGTCGTGATGGTGTCTAATACTACAGCTAGGCAAGCCAACTGATAAATTAAACGTATATTGATTAAACTTTTAATCCAAAAAAATAATAAAATACCAAATTCTACCAATGTGTGTGCCAAGACCTGGTGTCACAAGTGTATGAGCATCTAAGTAGATTATATAAAACCTCTAATATTGTCTGAAATAATAATAGACAGAATGAAAAGAAAATACAAGGAGAGACACTGGTAGCTGCAGAACGGCTCAGAAAGGTAGCTCACCACTATGCCCCTGAATAACGTGGGTGTAAGATGGCAGGTCCCCCACTAGTACTTGCCTCAGGTCCTGCACAAAAAGTGCAGCAAGTGTAGTATGAGTACGTAAACAACGTGTACCCAGCAAGTATCAAGCCTAATCTCGAAGTGGTAGAGACGAGATAGCCAACTTTGACACTCACTATGGGTGAATAACAATAATTGAAATAAAACTAGAATATATAATTCAGCATGATTCACAGAATATAACAATAATTTATTTAACCAGCAGAAATAATTAAATTCCTTCAAATGCAACAATTCTGAGTATATTAACTAATTTCCTTCAATTCCAATAAATTTTCAGTTTATTAATTAATCTCATTTACAGGAATAACAATAATTCCTTACCTAACAGGGATAATAATCCTTAAATTCCAAAGATTTTTAAATTTATCAATTAGCTTCACAAGCTATAATAAACTATCAAAGTATCGTGTAATTATTATTATTAAGCACGATTTCTGCCGAGGTCGTTCGGCCCGATCCAGAATATTGTGTACACTGCCGAGGGACGTGTGGTACGATCCATAGATGCATCTATCCTGCCGAGGCGTTCGGCCCGATCCACAAGAAAGGAGGACATTTTCTTATGTACCTCCGGAATAAGAGTATTTATTGTAAAATTTATTCGAGAGGATAACAATTTATTTCAACAATTAATTAATCTAAACAAAAATTAAGCATATGAAAATTTTATATTTTACTACCTTTCATAAAAATTCACAATATATACATCAAATATTTTAATTAATAAAAATTACCACTTACACAAGTAATTCATGCTTTGAGTCCTAAACTACCTGGATTTTAGCATTAATAGTAGCTACGCATGGACTCTCATCAGCTCGTGCGTACGTAGCCCCCGCAATTAGCAACAATTATTTAATTTAATCACCTATGGGGTAAATTTCCCCCTCACAAGATTAGACAAGAGACTTACCTCAATTTGCTCCAATTTAATCCACTAGAAGGCCCTTTCCTCGATTATCCAACTTTGATTGGCTCGAATCTAACCATAAATAATTCGATACAATCACTAAAATTTATAGGAATCAATTCTATAAGAAATACTACATTTTCAATAAAAAATCTGAAATTAATTAAAATTCGTCCGTGGGGCCCAAATCTCGGAATCCGGCGAAAGTTATGAAATCCGACAACCCATTCAATTACGAGTTCAACCATACCGGTTTCACTCAAATCCGACTCCGAATCGACACCGAAATCTCAAAAATTCGTTTCTATGAGATTTCTAAATTTTTTCAAATTTCAATCTCAAAACACTAATTAAATAATAAAAATAATGATATATTTGTGTATATAGACCAAATCCGAGTTGGAATCACTTACCCCAAATGTCTTTCCTTGAAAATCTGTCAAAAGTCGCCTCTGCTCAAGCTCAAGTTTGTCAAAAATGGCAAACGGGTCGAATGCCTCTGTTTTTATAACTTACAGATCTGTCTAGTCCGATCAGGGAGCTCGATCAGGGGAGCTCGATCATGGCAGGTTGATCTCGGGAGCTCGATCTCGGGAGCTCGATCATGGGAGCTCGATCATGGGAGCCCGATCATGGGAGCTCGATCTTGGGAGCGAAATTTTGGGCTCGATCTTGGGCTCGATCACAGCCCAAAATTTCCAGCAGAAGAGAAAAATTGCAGCAGCTGTTAAAGTCCAATATTTGATCCGTTAACCATCCGAAACTCACCCAAGGCCCTCGGGACCTCAACCAAATATACCAACAAGTCCTAAAATATCATACGAACTTAGTCGAACCTCTAAATCACATCAAACAACGCTAAAACCACGAATCATACCCCAATTCAAGCTTAATGAAACTAAGAATTTTCAACTTCTACATTCGATGCCGGAACCTATCAAATCAAGTCCGATTGACCTCAAATTTTGCACACAAGTCATAAATGACATAATGGAGCTGTGAAAATTTTTAGAATTGGATTCCGACCCCGATATCAAAAAGTCAACTCCCCGGTCAAACTTCCAAACTTTAAATTCCTATTTTAGCCATTTCAAGCCTAATTTCACTACGGACTTCCAAATAAAGTTTTGATCATGCTCCTAAATCTAAAATCAACATACGGAGCTGTTGGAATCATCAAAATTATATTCTGGGGTCGTTTGCATATAATTCGACATCCGGTCACTATTTGAACTTAAACTTTTAATTTTCATCAAAACTTTATATCTCGGGTTAGGGACCTCGGAATTTGATTTCGGGCATACGCCCAAGTCCCAAATCACGATACGGACCTACCGGAACTGTCAAAATACTGATCCGAGTCCGTTTACTCAAAATGTTGACCAAAGTCAACTCCGTTGAATTTTAAAGCTCTAATTCACATTTTATCCATTTTTCACATAAAAACTTTCCAGAAAATTTTACGGACTGCGCACACAAGTCGAGGAATGATAAATAGTGATTTTCGAATTCTTAGAATACAGAATTAATTATTAAATTTAAAAATAATATTTTTGGGTCATCATATTATATGTATTACACTAAGCAACAATAATAATAACAAATTAGAAAGGGGCAACACTTGTAACTACCAATTGTTAAGGTGGAAACTTTTGTACTTTGAGATTGTCCCAGTGTAGCTTCATTGCTCATGAGTAACATTAGCTTGCACACCTCAATATATAATGGCTCTGTTTTTTCGTACCTTTGTCAAAATTTACATAGTTGATACAATTTACCTAGTACAAACGCCTAGAGAAACAAAATAACCATGCAAAGTCAAGAAAAATAGAAAAATACACACATTGCACTAGAGTTCTTAGTAAGCTTAAACAGAAATTTGTGTAACTTGAACAATAAAATACAATACGATAAAAACATGCTTGAACTCAAATGGTTGTATTTGGAGTTCCATCTATTGGTGTATAGTAGGAGCAGATTCCACTTTTTTAATTACCTCTTTCACTTGTACTATTACCAGCAAATTTCATGCTTGCCTGGTGAAAACCATTCTCTTTCTCAGTTAAACTCCACTCTTTCATGTAGTAATCTTCCTCTGTCAAGCCTTTAGATGAGGGACCATAACACATTCCACCCCATTGTGGGAAGTATATAAACAAAATGGGGAGAGTGCAACATATAATCATGATACCCATGTATGTAATCCCTGTTTCTGTTGAATATCTTGTTCCTCTAAAGAAAATTACTTGAGTTATTACTGCTCCAACATTTCCTCCTCCTCCTGTCATCCCCGAAATTATGCCCAGTGATCTATTTAAGCAAAAAAAAACATCCAAGGATTAGACGTCTAATATGTGTTCTGTACAAGGATATATTGACAGTGTGAAAAGAAGCAGGTTACTGTTATTTATTACATAGAATTACATGCAATTGCTTTTTCAATAATCTGACAACAGTTAGTATATAGAATTTTAACTCTTTTATCAGGTTTAAGTAAAATAAACCTTGAGTAGTAAGTAATACAAAAACCAGGTGGAATACATACCTTCTTGAAACAAATGGAACTACCCCGAAAGTAAGGCCGCAGGCAGCTTGACAAAACACTGAAAACACAAGCATCACAACAATAGAACCACTTAAAGATTCTACTTTCCCTAAAAGAACACATAACAAGCCTCCTATAGTTTGCACAATCCATAGTGCCCAAAGCCTTCCCCTCATTCCGAACCTTTTCGCCACGATATCAGACAATATCCCTCCTCCAGGCCTGGAAAATAAATTTGCTAACCCGAAACTGGCTGCAATAATTCCAGCTGTGTGAAGATTCACATGGAACCTGTCAAAAAAATACTGTGCAATTATGTTGTCCACAGTGAGTTCAACCCCAAAACAATAGCCATAAGTCAATGCCAAGATCCACCCTCTATAATTTGTAATTGCATGATAGAGAACATCTGATATATTATCTTTATGCTTTTCTCCTGATTTATGGAGCTGTGCATAATTCCCATCAGGCATATCTTGGCCTAAAAAGAAAACAGCATATGCTGATAAAGCCTGAAACAAGGCAGGTATAAAAAATGCAATTCTCCAAGCAGTAAACTCAGTTGCACCGATTTTATGTATTAGTGAAAAGATTAAAGGCATAATTAGCTGTGTAGCTCCGCCACCAAGATTTCCCCAGCCTCCGGCTATGCCATTGGCCGTGCCAACGACCTTAGCAGAGAACATAGAGCTCATCCAGAATTGGGTCGAGACAAAAGTGGCAAGTGAAAAGCCCGTGAAGAAACGAACAAGAAGGAAGGAAATCGCCGAATTGGAAATTGCAGTTAAGGAAACTGCTGGTGCAGTTAAGAGAATAAGTGCAGATGAAGCAAGTCTTGGACCAAATAAGTCACAAGCTGTTCCCATAGCAATTCTTGCAAAGACAGCACCAGAAACAGCTGCAATCCCAGCATTTCCAATGTCAGTGGCTGTAAGATCAAGATTGTCACGGATTATGGGGAGAAGTGGTGGAGCAGCAAATGTGGAAACAAAACAAGCAAAGAAAGAAACCCAAGAAAGGTGAAATGATCGCATGTGAGGAGCTGAAGCAGAGTACACTCTGAATTCATTGGCCTTATGTTCTGAGTCAACTGGTAGAGCAAACATTCTGTCAGCATTAGATTCCAACTCCATGTTTGGAACTGTGAAAATCTTAAGAAAACTAAACTACAAAAATAGTAAGAAGAAACAACTCTCAACAGTCTTTGTTCTATATCTCACACTTGTTGATTTCTCCTTTTTGCTGAAAAGTATGCAATCACTAGTGCCATTGGCTGGCTTAAATAGTGTCAAAGTCATGTATAACGTGTGCTAAGTTCTCGTGTGCTAAGTTTTCTATTTATCCTCTTATTGTTGTTGTGATACTAATATTGTTTTCTTTTTGTCCTTTTATCTTTTTTTTTGAGCCGAGGGTCTTTCGGAAACAGCCTCTCTACTTCTTCGGATAGGGGTAAGGTCTGCGTACACACTACCCTCCCCATATCCCATTAATGAGATTTTACTGGGTTGTTGTTGTTTGTTGTTGTTGGCTTATTTTGCGAGGAGAAAGGGGTTGGAGTACTATACTTGTAGGGATAGTTTGGCGGGAATAAAATTATGTTAGAAATTTTAATACATCAATTGTACTAATACCGAGATCAATAATTCCTTGATTATTTAGTACCTACGATTTATTTGGTTTACTGCATTAGTAATAAGATATACGTAGTGTATACTCTAAAGAATGCATTTAGCTTTAAACAAAATTAACTTTGATAAGTTTTATTTCTAATTTAAACCTTGATTTTTCGGTAAAAGGCTTTGGCAGAAGGACAATTTTATCAATTTACTTGTTTTATTCGGGTATAACTAATCCCTCTATTGTTATCCCACATTAGATGTGGTATAAAAATTATAACGAATCGAAAATTAAAATATAACCTAGACAAAATATAAAATAATACCATATTTTAAACTGTGAATAATTCATTTTCTCAGTAACCAAACGAGTTCTGAAAACCTTATAGCGTGTGGTAGTGTTTTCAAACTGTCTTTTTTCAACTTTGATTAATCTGCCAATTGAAAGGAGTTCAAATCTGAATTTTGTACTATACTTTTTTGGTAAATATTTGTGAAAATGAGGCTAGTGAGCCTTTGGGTGCTAAGAATGAAAGTCGTTGGGGTTAAGAGTTGTGTATATTGGTCGAGTCACATCTCGTTGGGATAAAATTCCTAAAGATATTTTTAACATAGTGTATTATCGGTTTTGGGTCAAGTTGGTTTAATTTTATCAAAAAAGTCTCACACCATAAAGAGTATTTAACTTCTTATAAATAACTTATTTTTCTTTTCAACTTTTCATGTTGTACTTTGTTCACATACTCAGTCTAACACACGGATGATCTTTAATGGGATTCTATTTCTTCAGTATACTTATGATACTTAATGTCTAATTGTCAAGATATTGAATTTTCTTTTAGCGAAAGAAAGAGACTTGAGAGCAATAATTGGTTCGTTCCATTGACTTTGGAAATGGGAAAGCTTACCAAGAATCCAAGAGAATATGCATCTTTTGACTGGGTAAGAGATTCCCTTTTGATTTTTCTTTGTATAAATTGTATATGACCATTTTGTCCTTATTGATATTTTTGATACACTCCTTATTCTTTTTCTTTGCTTTGAGACGTTAGATTTAACGACTGTGATCTATCGACACATTTCGAGTCAAGAATGAGAGTTAAGAATCCGTTACACTTAATGTGTTGCTTGAGTAATTGAGTTGGTTTAATTTAATTTCTTAAAAACTAGTTCTGGAATTTTTTCTTAAAATTATTGGGAAGAATTTATGTGTTGAATTTGCTTATGGGTATAAGGTTTCCGGAACAAATTGTTTTAGTTTGTCAAACTCCAGAGATGGTCATTTTCATTTTCGCAAAACGCTTCGGTGCGATTTTCAAAAATACTTCAGTTTTCCGAACCAAACAGCTACTCGTTTGTCCATACAACTTTTTGTCTTTTCTTCTAAACTCATCTTTAAAATATTGTTTGGTTATACTTTTAACTGAATTTTTGAAAATGAAATTCAAAATTTTTGAAGATGAGTTTCAAATTTTAAAAAAAATATTGATTTTACCTCTTTTTCAAGTAAACAATGTTTTCCTGTCACTAAACTGCAATATTTTTTCAAGTGAAATACATGTCCAAACACAATTTCGATTTCTTAAATATATTGTATACGATCAAAATCGTACTTACCAGATTTTGTATGGTTAATCGAGACCGGGTGGCAGACTGAGGTTCAATCTCAACTTATATTGGATCGTTGCGTGAATAAATATTGCCTAGCTCGTGATTCAGGGATCGATCGAGATCAAGACCAGCTAAGGTTGAGACCGAGAATGATAGGGATCTAGCGAGATCGAAGGAAGCATGCTACGTCAAATAAAAGAAATCCGAGGAATCCGTGACCGGACGATGATTGTGGTGGAGATCTCGGCATATATCAAGTCAAGACCGGTTGATTAGCTAATCAAAAGATTTTCTTCTGTATTTAGAATTGTACCATATGTAGAACTCCTCTACTATATAAGGGGGAATTCACGCATAACAAAGGGACATATTACGTTTTTTCTCTTAAGCTCTCTTATTCAGTTGTTAAGTTCTTGCTTCTCAATAATATATTCAGTTGGTTCGAGGGCGACCTAGCTTGAGGGCCAAAGTTATGCGTTACATTGGTTTGCTTCATTTTACAGTTAATTTCTAACTTCAATTCTTATATTTCTCAGTTTGTGCCAAGTGAAATCACATATCCTTAAAACCACTTACAAATTTAATTGTTATCTGATTTTAAAGGTAAATAGTTTGGCGCCCATCGTGGGGCTAAGGATAATAGTGATTGTCTGGTGCTAATTTTCATAACACACACTGCTTTACACTTGTTCTTGTAAGAATTTTTGATTCCAGGATCAGCATGTCGAACTCTCAAGCAGTACCCACACACATCGACAATGGTCTTGGTTTTCATGGCAAAAACGACAACGTAGGCGCCCCAGGAAATGAAGTGCCTCCAGTTGATCTTGAAGGAGTGCCAGTTGCAGACCCCATCGACGTCAGTTCCCATGTTGCCCTGAATGCAAATCTGGGGGTCGACCCCGAAAATAGCATCCACAGAGACGTTCGATCAGTCGGTCAGAACGCACAGGAGGACGAAGAAGGCAAAATCAGCCTTCGAATAATATTCGAAATGTTGCAGGCTCAACAAGTTGCAATAGCACAACTCCAAAATCAGAATCACGCACCGAGTAGGGTGGAACCCGAGCCATCACGGGAAGTTATTCACAGGGCCGAACCAGTGCCGGGGAGGTCAAATGTGAATGAGTCAGGGACCGACCCCGCTATCTTGAAAATGTTTGAGGAGCTGACAAAGCGAATTGAATTGGGGGAGAAGAAGATTGAAGCGAATGACAAAAAGGTGAAAACTTATAATCCCGAGTTGATCAAATTCCGGGGGCACCACCGATTTTGAAGGGTTTGGATTCAAAGAAGTTCATATAAAATCCCTTCCCCCCGAGCGTGACTCCTAAGCCCATTCCAAAGAGAAGGACAACGAGATGCTCAAAGAGTTCGTATCCCGGTTCCAAATAGAGCGTATGGATCTGCCCTCGGTTGCCCACGATTGGGCCGTTTAGGCTTTCACTCAAGGCCTAAACGTACGAAGTTCGGTAGCCTCACAAGAGTTAAAGCAGAACTTGATCGAATATCCAGCTATAACCTGGGCCGATGTGCATAATCAGTACCAATCAAAGATTAGGGTTGAGGATGACCAGTTGGGGACTTCTTCCGGGTCTGTCTATCCAAACAGGACCATCGACAGAGTTAAAAGGGATATTGACCGGGAACCACGGTCAAATAGAGATCGATATCAACCATACAGTGGAGATTGGAGAAACAACGGGCCTGGACGTAACCTCATTCGAATTGATAGAAGAAATGATCGAGGACAGAGCTCTCGAGGGCTCATGAGTAAGAGCGGTTTCGACAGGAATGTCGAACCCAAAGAAGCACCACGACTATCGGAATACAACTTCAACATTGATGCATCAACTATTGTATCGGCCATTGGGCACATCAAAGACACCGGGTGGCCCCGACCGCTACAGACTCATCCGGCCCAGAGAAATCCTAATAAAATGTGCAAATATCATGGAACACATGGTCATAGAACAAAAGATTGCAGACAGCTAAGGGAGGAGGTAGCCCGTTTGTTCAACGAATGGCATCTTCGAGAATTCTTAAGAGATCAGGCTAAAACCCACTTCAAGAACAGAGATTCAAACAGACAGAATGAGCAAGAAGAGCCGCAACACGTGATCCACATGATTGTTGGAGGGGTCGATATTCCTCAGGGGCCCGTATTCAAACTCACCAAGGTGTCGGTCACGAGGGAAAAACGGACTCGAGATTATGTACCGGAAGGGACCTTGTCTTTCAATAACGAGGATGCAGAGGGGATCTTACAACCCCACAACGATGCACTGGTAATATATGTCCTTATGAATAAAATTCAAGTTAAACGTGTTTTGATTGATCCAGGTAGCTCGGCCAACATTATTCGTTCGAGGGTCGTAGAACAACTCAGCATACAAGATCAAATTGTGCCCGCAGCCCGAGTACTTAACGGCTTCAATATGGCGAGCGAAACCACCAAAGGTGAAATTACTCTGCAGACGAATGTGGATGGGACCATCCAAGAAACAAAGTTCCAAGTGATCGAGGGTGACATGAGGAACAACGCTGTCATGACCAAAATCCCACCACAGGAATTGTGATGACACTTAGTCTCTATGACTAAGTAAGCCGATCATAATAACAATCCAAGACATTTTTTTTTGTAAATAGATAATCGAAACCAACAACGGAAATAATGATACAACCACCTAAGACTGGTAATACTGAGTCACAAACTCTAACTGAATACATGAAATGATCTCAAGGAAATCGAATATATAATACTGTTCGAATAATAATTGACAGTACGATAAAATAGAAAGATTCCAAGGGACTGCGATGACCAAGCAGCTCTACCTTGAATCCTTGCGATTACACTCTAACTCTGTCCGAGTCTGATATCTCCAATACCCGACTCTGCACAAAAATGTATAGAAGTGTAGTATGAGTACACCACAGTCGATATCCCGTAAGTATCAAGACTAACCTCGGTGGAGTAGCGACGGGGTACAGTCAAGACACTCA